TTTACATTTTATGCTTAATTCATTATTCATGTGCCAATCTTGATGTTTTTTGCCAGACGCTAGGGATGACACTCGTATCAGTTTTACTGCCTGTCATCTCTATTTTGCGGTATGATCCGATAATCAATTCCTAATAATCAGTTGTTCCTTTATATGTCTATATCCTGTATCATTCTGCAAATAAACATTATTATTATTATTATTATTATTATTATTATTATTATTATTTGAGTTTATATGATTCCAGTCACGACCCTGCGGCCTCCGACGTCACGCAGAGTCGTGCTGGACAAAATCCAGTGACTACTCCTCACAGCCTGTGAGGTGAGTAATCACTGGGACCAAGTACCGTGTGCCCTGAGTAGACGCAATGATCCTAGTATGACGGCCTTCTGCATTCCACCAGCCAGGATGTGTGCCTTATCACGGCACGCTGGGATTTTCTGGATCTCTTATTATTATTATTATTATTATTATTATTATTATTATTATTATTATTATTATTATTATTATTATTATTATTATTATTATTATTATTATTATTATTATTATTATTATTATTATTATATAGGGTGTGAAAAATCTATATTTTTCAAGTTGTAGAATTTTTTGTGTCGAAACTATTCATAATTGGTCAAAACGGCTTACATGTTCCTATCTCAACTTTTGATTAACTATCTACTGATATTTAATTGGGACATATACCGGGTGATCAAGATTCTGAATTCTGCACCACCCTCCCAGCAAACATGTATCGCGCGGGCCTTTAGACGCCCTCCAAAAACTGCCGACAGTCAACATCAGCGGGCCACAATCATGATACATCGTCGGCCCGGCTAGCCCGTGTCGCACCGGCCGCTAGTAGGCCGCCCGACTATCTACCGACACTATTCGGTTAGAAATAAAAAAAAGATATAGTCGGGAGTCGGACTCGAACTTGCGATCGAACGGATATCCAATCAACTGTCAGACGCTTATACCACTAGGCTACTGCGAAACTTGAAAGATACTATTACGAATCCATCAGTCAACAGAATTGAAATAGTACAATACTTCAATTATATTTGATATTTGATCATATACGATAAACCTATCATAACTTGTTGATTCGACGACGTAGAATAGGTTTAGCCTGATAATGTTCTAGCCACATTACTTTTCCAGTGTTTGATCTATTACTGTGAATCAAATATTTTTCGAATATAGGTAAAGAGCTGAACTTCGCATTGGAGCATCATTGTTATAATATAGGGTAATGAACAAATATTTAGCTCAAAATCATTACCACAAAAATGGATTGGTAGACAATAACGAGTTTAATTATTGTTATATAACATATATCATTATTCTTGATGTCGGACGATAGTTTGCTGGGATCAATCATAAAACTCACCAACTTTTTCTAAATAATATTAATATTATCACGCCGTTTAACAAATACCTGAAGACAAGTGACAGACAACTGACGCGATCTACGGACACAGAACTAAAACACGAAAATAAATTAGCAGTACTACCAATGCTCAAAAACCCAGTGATGCCAACATTGCGTTTGGTTCAGTTACCACCGACCTGTAAACAACATACATACTGCGTCAAAGCGACATCGGCACGATTGTCGGGAATTTTAAACGGGCAATTTCTGGCTGAATAACAAACATCCATTATAAACATGCGTACGTTCAGCCATGGCGGCAAAACCGATGTCGTTTCAACATTTTAACGACATAGGTGTGCCGCTGCCGACAACTAACCGCAGTTACCAGCAATCGGCCGCCTATTTACCGCTCAATCATGTTTGCTGGGCTGTATTTGTTTCAATTAAATGTCAGTAGATAGTTGATCAAAAGTTGAGATAGGGAGTTGAGCCGTTTTGACCAATTGTGAATGGTTTATAGACACAAAAAATTCTTGAACTTGGAAAATCTCGATTTCTCACACCCTATATATATCTCAGTAATTATAACTGCTAGACCCCAAGTATGATGCGTCGTTGAAATCAGCTCATCAGGGAGAATCTCAGAATGAAATAATATATAGGGTGTTCGATAGAAAAAAGTTTAACTTCAGTGTTTTATGGTTTCTGGGGACACCCTGTATGTTTCGAAATAATTTTAAATGGTAGCCTATGTTGACATGCAACTTCCTAGAGAGGAAGAATTCCAAGAAGATAAGTGGTTAGCCTTCTAGAGACCGAGGCGTTACTGGTGGCCCACCCTGTACATATAGAAACGTCCGTCAGTTTTGTTGAATATGGTCCATGAATTGGGACAGCCTGTTGATTCATTTCTGTCGAGCATTGATCGATTCTACTTCAATCTCGATATTATATTCATACCAGGCAATCAAATGACGTTACAGTGACGTCTTTTCACGTTATTTGAATGACCAAGGTGACGTCGTATGACGTGAGAAGTGACGTGAATAAATCACAGCCCCATGATGCCATATTACTTACGTTTATTGACGTCAGTCACTCACCTATCGGTGACGTCGAAGTGACGTTCAATTTTGGTGATAAAACGCAAAAAAGTTTTCAAAGTGTGATAAACACCACTGACCTCTGGTGATATCTGATCCTAATTATACATTGTTGAGACTGCTTGATGGTCCTTTCGGTGTCATATATCCATTCAATCGTCTATTAAGCAGCGCTATCCTTGAGAACGCATCTCCATTAGAATGAGATCAGTTACTCGTATTTTTATAAAAAATTATGTAGTTTTTGTCGGCGAGATGTAAACAAATTTTATGAATGACGAAGTCCTCCAAATTGATACGTCCCACCGACCTGATTTTTAGACATCATAGATACGTTACTGCAACGTCATAAAAGCGATCACGTTCTCAATAGGTACACCTATTATCATTTGTATATACAGGGTTTCCCAAAATTGCTGGGACACAGAGCTACCACGTGTAGAGGAGATCTAAATAAGTTTATTGAACCCAATTTATTTATGTGCCAAAATGTACCGTTTGTCCGTGAGAAGCTATCATTATTTTCTACGCATCTCTATATGGCAATATCGTTATAGCTACTCCTAATTGTATCTAAAATTATGTAGCGAGCGTCCGCGAGATGTAAGATGAATAAATTCATTTTTAGCTAAACTATCCGTTTCTGAGGAAACTCCTGAAACAAGTCGATTTTGATTTTCAATTTGCCACATTTATAAGTAAAAGTCAGTCTTCCTTCGCTATTTTTTCAAATAAAACACCCTATATATCATTCAATTTAAGAAATAGCAATGACAATCTGAATTCAAAAATATATTACACATAGGGTTATTTGTATACCGTGTGTCTGTTAAATTGAGTGATTTCGTTAGAGAACAAATTCATCTACAGCAATACTATTTCTTTCTGTGGAATCTCCTGAAACAGGTCGATTTCCACTTATAATATCACGAGAGCTTCAATTACTTCCGGAAAAGATTGCTGGATATTAATTGAAGCTAAAAAGTGGTATTCGGTAAGAAAATTTCACACCAAACATTTTCCATCAATTTAATGCTAAGGAATTCCAACAACACTTAGATGATTTAGTTAAAAATGATGGTTGTTTGTGATGAAATGTAAGAACTAACGTATAGTAACATGTGTTTTTGTAAATTACGAATTTGCAAGTATATCTACATAATATTATATGATAAACTGTTGGTAAATGATTTTTATATTTTTGACTTGAAGAATGAACTCGAAATGATCTGAAGTTGAATAATGTAGGTGTCATTTCACCTATAAACGTCTAAAAATTTCCAGTTTAATTTCATGCTACGTCCCCCAAGGAGGAGGAAAAAATTTCCAAGAAATTTGTTTAGTTGCTATGGTAACGATACGAACTACAGGTTTTAAATTGATCGAAAATGTTTGGTGTGAAATTTTCATCTTTTTCGTCTTACTAACATTTATAATGGGAAATTGAATATACAGAGTGATTCAGGTTTTAGTTACGACGTCCGCGGCAATTTTCTCAAAGGAACACCCTATACATTATTCGATTTTTGAAATATCTAGGGAAAGCTGGATTCAAAAATATATTACAAATCGAGTTTGTATACAGTGCGTTCGTTAAATCAAGTGCTTTTGTAAAGTTGTGAATAAATTCGTTGAAAATTACGTCATCGGTATTTTTCAATGGTGACATCATTTCACGATAATAGTGAAGTTAACGGACCCCCTTTATACAAACTCCATGTGTGATATGATTTTGAATACAGCTTTTCATAGAGATTACAAAAATTCCATAATATAATATAGAGTGTTCCATTTGTAAAATGTGTCGCGGACGTCATGAAATTGAAACGTGTATCATCCTGTATATTTGATTTCTCCTCATAAATATGTTAGATCAAAAATAGAAGTCCCTCCTGCTTCAGAAGATTTCTCAGAAATGGATAATATGGATAATAATGAATTTATCCAGTACTTTACGAGAGCATTGAATTTATTGAACGCGCAGTATACAATTCACATATGTAATACATTTTTGAATTCGTCTTCCCATAGTGATTCCAAAAATTGAGTAACACCCTTAGTTTCATTCTTAAAAATTGTTGTGGTCGTCATAACTCAAACGTGGATATTCAATTTTCCCTCATTAATAATGCAAATTGAAAATAAAAATCGACCTGTATCAGCAGATTCCTCAGAAATTGTTAATAAAAATCGACCTGTTTCAGCAGATTCCTCAGAAATTGTTAATTTTGCTGAAAATGATTTTATTCAGTACCTACTTTACTTGTTTAAACAAACACTTTAGCACAACAGATGATGAAAAGGTAAAAATTCGACTGATTTTTCTCATTTAGTTGAATGGGAGAATATACGACTTTGTAGGGACGTCATAAAATATGACGTCATTCTCATATTTTGGTCATAAAACGTCATGGACCAAAAATGACGTGAAATGTCAACATGGCAAATTTTAAGATCACCCTGCTACTTGGGTTTGTATATATCCTAACACTATATGTATAACCTGGACCTATTCTCAGGTGATTGGCATGACAACAACCAGTGCTGCCAGGCTCAGATCGACCTTGAACGCACTCAAGAGTCCGATAGTGATCGTAGAGGAGGCAGCGGAAGTTCTTGAGGCCCACCTCATAGGTGCCCTCACGGTACATTGCCAGCAGCTCATCCTGATAGGTGAGAAGAATAAAAGCATCCACTTTTTTTTTGGAGGAAAAATGAATTTATGAAAAGTGATATTTCGTTACCTGTCAAAAAAAATAGAAAATCTCATTTTTCCCGTCACAAAAATGAATATTTCAACATCTTCCAGCATTGAGGGGCGGGCAACATGGTAAAAAAATCATTGTTTAATGTAAAAAACTTCAAATTTTGAATTGACTCGGCCGTTACTTGATGGAAATCCATGGCAAATAAGATGTTGAAAAGGAATATTCTCAGATAAATCATGAACATACAAAAATGGATATAACTTTATATAAAGCAATACATTGAGAATTCGCATTCTCTATCTGATGAGAATATCAACTCTTTTTCAGTTTATTCAATAGAAAACAACTACTTCCCTGGCAATGTATGCCACGACGAACATTGAATAATATCTATTGAACACAAACGATAAGAGTTTGAAAATAAAATATAAAATCTTCTGAAATTGAGAATTTGCATTCTCCTTCAGACAAAAATATGTATATGCACACATCATTCTGAATATTCAACAGAAAACAACTACTTTATCTGAGAATATTCCTTTTCAACACTTTCATACCCAATCAAGGGGTTCAAACTTGAACGATAGAAACTTGTGATTTTTCGTAATAGAGTCTCAATTCAGAATTTCTTTCCACGCCCTGTATGATGAATATCAATTCATCATACACCCAAAAGCAAATGTAAAAACTTCACAAACGATAAGATTTCCACAAAATTCTCAAACACACGACATGTTTCGCTAACAGAGTAGCTTCGTCAGGTGATATAATGGTATGATGAACTAAACTAACCTTGGCTTACTTATTTATCCTACTTTCACAACCTGAAAGATTGATTACCTGTGGACAGGTTCGATAAACCTTCATTTTCGGAAATCAGGGCACAATATCTACATTACACATACATATTTGATCAGCGCATGCATGAACATAAGATGCATTTTTTGAAAAAGAAAACAAATTCAACATACTCCAACCATATATTAGAAGAAAATCATAGTTTTGATGATAGTTTCGAAATTCTACACGAAGAAAATGAAACAAAATCATTTTGAATCATTAGAAATCAACAAACTAAAAAATTCTGAGATTTTACTTAACGATCAATTAGTCCTCAATCGTTGAATTTGTTTTCGTAGTAGGTATGAATTTACTATCAACCCTTTCAAGTTAATCCGGTACACGGAAAATGAAGGTTTATCGAACCTGTCCACAGGTAACTAATTCTTCAGGTTGGGAAAGTAGGATATATAAGCAAGCCAAGGTTAGTTTTTTTTATCGCTTGAAGCGCACGAAAGGAAATCCCTATAATGTTCAAAGAACATCGTGCGTTCCTAGGGAGGATAGGAACAGGAGGTAGGTATTGGATTTTTTTTTGAACTTCTGGAGATTATATGTTGTTAGGAATACTTCCTCAAGCAATGAATTCCAGAGCCTAGCCGTTCTATGGATGAAGGAGTTTTGATTAAGTGCTGTTCGACATCTTTCGAAGTTGACAACGGAAGGATGTGCTAACTGGGCTTGTCTAGTTCGTCTGACTGGTATTGCTAGTGGAGGGATGATAGCAGAGATTTCCGAAGAACATTTCCCGTGGAAGTATCGATAGAAAAGTGAAAGGTCACCGACCTTTCTACGGTGTTCCAATGATGTCGAAGAGTGAATGAGTGTGGCGTCACCCACCAGGCGAATGGCTCTTCTCTGGATGGAATCTAAGAGCATCAGCGTATGTTTTGGTGCTGAACCTCATATGTGGTAACGGTATTCTAGAACAGACCGTATCTGCGCTTTGTAGATCATGAGAAGCTGTTGAGGTGTAAAGTAGCTTTTCGCACGGAACACGAATCAGAGTTTTTGTGAAGCAGCTTTTGCGAAGGATCTGACATGATTATTCCATGAAAGAGTGTTGCTGTTGGAAATACCGAGCATAGATATGGTGGGCTTGGTGGGGATGGTTCCGCCTTTCTAGAGAAAATACAGGCTTGAGTTCTGGTGGCGTTGAATTCAACTAGGTTATTGGTTCCCCAGGCTGTCATTTCAGCAAGGTCTTCATTGACAGCATTGACGTGCCTGCGCCGTGAGTTGTTAGTATCCTGGGAAGAAATGGGAATTCTGGAAAAGAACGCAGTATGGAGGGTACTATCATCTGCGAAGCTGTGGATGGGGCAAGTTGTTACTCCCAACAGATCATTGATATGAAGAAGGAATAATGTTGGTGCCAAAATTGATCCTTGTGGAACGCCGGAATTGATGCCAATGGTATCAGACGATACACCGTCCACCACCACGTGAAGCGATCTGCCTGAAAGAAAATTCGATAAGAGATGGCATAGCTGAGGTGGTAAGCTGTATGATGGTAGTTTGTGGAGGAGTCCTCCGTGCCAAACACGGTCGAATGCTTTTGATATGTCCAACGCGACAGCTAGAGATTCCTCGTGTTTTTTCTAATGAAGCTTGTCATGAATGGGTGACGTAGGCAAGTAGATCTCCAGCAGATCTTCGGTGGCGAAAGCCGTATTGTCTATCATCGATGATTCCTGAGCTCTCCAAATATTTGGTAAGCTCAATATTGATGGCTTTCTCCATCACTTTGTAGATTACCTACTGATAACAGGGCAATGGGCCTGTAGTTGTTGGGCAGGTTCTTGTTCCCTTTTTTGGGGATTGGTTGTACTCTAGCTGTCTTCCAGCATGATGGAAAAATACCCGACCTGTACGAGACGGTAAACAACTTGCAGAGAATCGGTGTTAATTCTGGTGCACATTTTTTGAGGATAATGGGTGGAATTCCATCAGGACCGTTAGCCTTATTCGTTTTGAGACCGAGCAAAATTCGTCTGGTAGTGCGTTGACGGAAGACGATTTCGGGCATTCGACTCTCAACGGGTGGAATGTGAAGTAGAGTTTGCTGCGAACATCTCTGCAAAAATATTTGCTTCCTCCTGCGATGTTGTTGCTAATGTGCCGTCGGATTTGGACAGTGGTGGAAATGAACTTTAGTGAAATTTCTTCCCACCGCTTTAGCAAGGGACCAAAACGAACGGGAGCCATTGGGACACTCTATGAGTTTCGATCTTATCTTGGCATTGTATGTTTAGTTCATCATACCAGTATATCACCTGACGAATCTATTGTGTTAGCGAAACATGTCCTGTGTTTTAGAATGTTGTGGAAGTCTTATCGTTTGGGAAGTTTTTACATTCGTAAAAAACTTCACAAACCATAAGTTTTCTACAAACTCAGTTTATTGTACCATAGAATTTCACCTGAAAAGCTACTGTGTTAGCGAAACATGTCGTGTGATTAGGAATTTTTTGGAAATCATCGTTTGTGAAGTTTTCTATATTTATACTACGGATTTCCATGAATTAACGGCAGAGTCAAATGAAGAGAAAAAGTGTTGACTCCACTGCATCTGAAGTATCAGGTTCCTAACCTCTGATCAATGATTCACTGAAGTTCATAGCGAATTTTGAAGTAAAGTAGTATTTTTCCAACAATAACACTAATCGTCTTGTTGCTTCGTCTTCTGTTGACCACTTCATTTAACGCTTCAACTTCGAAAACACCCTGTAAATGACTGGTAAACATTGAAATACTAGGATAACGTAAAAATATGATGGAATAATATGATAACGAGTTGAAGAAATCACAAAATAGCGAAATTACCAAGAATTATGGAACTGATGCAATGAGGAAGAGAGAATGATGAGATAATAAAATAATGGAATGATGAAATGAAGAACGATGAAATAATGGAATGATGAAATGAAGAACGATGAAATGATGGAATGATGAAATGAAGAACGATGGAATGATGGAACGATAAAACGACGAAATGATTGAATTTATTGATCATCTGATTGAATGATTAAATGATTAAATAATTGAATGATTAAATGATTAAATGATTAAATGATTAAATGATTAAATGAATAAATGATTAAATGATTAAATGATTAAATGATTAAATGATTAAATGATTAAATGATTAAATGATTAAATGATTAAATGATTAAATGATTAAATGATTAAATGATTAAATGATTAAATGATTAAATGATTAAATGATTAAATGATTAAATGATTGAATGATTGAATGATTAAATGATTAGATAATCAAATAATTGAATGATTGAAATATTGAATAAATGAATGAATGATGAAATGATTGAATGATGAAATAATGATGAAATGATTGAATGATGAAATAATGATGAAATGATTGAATGATGAAATAATGATGAAGAAGATAAAATAATTTGATGATATAGAACGATTGAAAGATGGAATTGTGAAATGATGGAATGATGCAATCATGAAATGATGAAATGATAACATCGCGAAATAATGGGATGATGGAATTATGGAATAATGAAATGTTGAAACAATGGAATGAGGGAATGATGAAAAGATGAAATAATGAAATGATGGAACGATGAAATGATGAAATATTCTCATTTGTCAATCTCTCTTCTAGGGGATCATCAGCAGCTGCGTCCCACTACGGCCGACTACAAAGTGGAGACGCACTACCAGATGGGCGTCAGTCTGTTCGAACGGCTGGTGCGGAACGATGTGCAGTGCCACACGTTGAACGTGCAACACCGCATGCGGTCGGAGATATGCAGCCTCATTCGGCCAGCGATCTATGCGAAGCTGGAAGACCACGAGTCGGTCCTAGGACGGTACGTTTACCTGGTGACACAGACTCATGGAATACCCCCCTTTTCGCCCCTATGCTCATTGAAGGGCACTTCCTAACATTTTAGGATTTTTCTTCATCATCCAGTTTTCCTGGAAATAATACCAACTTCCGATTTTCGAATGGATCACCCCAGATAGCACAAGGACGTCCTAAATACAGACGCTTCGGATATTGGGGACATCTCAATGACGTCCATTTTTAATACGACGGACGTGTTTAGGACGTCCATAGGACAAAACCAGAGGTACATAGGACGTCCGATTTTGATCTGTTTCAGGTCTGAACTGGACCATTTTGGCCATTTTGGGACTTGAATCGTACATACATACAGGTGCCAAAGTTGATAATTTTCAACAGCAATCGGAGCAAAAAATCGATGTTAAAATGAAACAGTTTCTGTTTCACTGAATAATCGACAATATAGAAGTTTGATGAAAAATTATGAGCAAATAAACAGATTGTGGCATTTTTTATGACACCATATTTTGAGTTCCGCTCTATATGTTTGAAAGTGCTGAGGGCATTTTGAATTATATATATGTGATTTTGATGATAATTAGCATTAACACAATCAATCATTACAGGTATATTCAACAATAACGAAAATGAATTACGAAATTTATTTTTCGACGTACCTATTTCAAAGTTGGGAAGTACACCTAAATTGTAAAAATCACTTTCACTTGCACTCAGCGTAATAAATGTGATTGAATAACAATCCGCCATTATTAGTATCACTGAGATAACAGCCTGGATACCATCTCATTGCTTGTTTTTCGATGTTTTTTAGTCAGAAATATGCTGGGATACTCATCCTAACCTACAAAAATCACTTTCACGCACGTCTAATGAATGTAATAAAATAATTATACTTACTCACTATTAATATCACTTGAGAGAACAGCCATGATAACATCTAAGTTGCAACAATTGAAACAAATGTAACACCGTCAAAACACCAATTATTTAATAATACACAAGCACACTGCACCACAGAAAATCGTGAACGGCGGATGAGCCTCGGCAAAATGGCGGTCGGTAACTGGATCATCAAACAAATTTAGATATGAATATGTATTCATCTGAGTTATGTCGAAAAATCATAGAATCTGAGAGATAAATGATAATAAAGGCAATATAATTGAATTTATGATATAAATATTGATTTCGACCCGAAATGTACGTCCCCAGGACGTCCGCGTCGTACGTCCTTAAAACGTTTGGCGTCGTACGTCCTTGAAACGTTTGGCGTCGTACGTCCTCAAGACGTCCAAATTAGAGTCTGGGATGTTCGGCCATGAATACGATATAAAATGGACGTCCTGTGCAATCTGGGACCCTGTATTTTATTCCATAATCGGTTAGGGTTTATTAAAACGAATTCAACTATACTGGGTTTGATTAGATTATTTCAAATGCTTACGAAGATATTCGCGTTCGAAGTTTCCATAAGCTTAATGAGTGTGACAGAGGAAGACGTTTCGATATCGCGCTGTCAAACCTATTGAGCATATGGAAACTTCAGGATTGAAACTTCATGGAGTAATTCAAAATATTATCACGATAAGTATGTCACCTATCTTCCGAGTTTGGTTGCTCTCGAAGAAGTAGACTTTCTGTCTACCTATATTCAATTTTTCAATTCGCATCGATTAGATCTAATGATGTACATGTAACAAATTGTCTATCTATTCACTCGTTTCATTATGTTAACTCAAAATTTGTTGTTTTATTCATTTTGTCAGGAAGGAATCGAAAATTTAAATTTGAATTCCAATGAAGTTGATACGATTCACGCTCATGAAACTTGGCAATTTAATTTATTGATAGCAAATAATTATAAGTAAACAATTGATAATATTCCATAGTGGAATGATTTTATATAACTCCCTACCTAATGAGTTAAAAAATATAAAAGTAGCAGAAAGATTCAAACTCGATTCAAAGAAATATCTGCTCAGTGAACTTTAATTACCTATATCTACTAATCATTCACTATTTGATTACCTGGATTGGATTATAAGTATTTCATTTATTATTTGATTTTTCCATGAAAAACAATAATTGTGCAATTATTATTGTTCTGATTTATTATGATATACATATATGTTTTGTTGTATACATCCCTATTATAAACAATAATGTTTCTTGGTGTAATGAAGACAATCAATCAATCAAATTTCTCCACTTCATATTTCACAATGATGAATGTTACATAAAAAAAAAACAGAAAAAAACATTATGAAAAATTTATAAATTATCCACCCTTTTATTGGTGACTTCATAACATTTCCTTGTAATCATTCCCGATAGACCCCGAGTGTAATAGACTGATGAAATCAGCTCTTCAGGAAAAATCTGAGAACGCAATAATATATGCATGGTGCTGTTGCTACTTTTGGGTTGATGCGGCAATGCCAAGGCATTACATTCTCAAAATAATCATATGTTTCGTTCTCCGTGTGATAGGCCATCGAGTTTGGGACACCCTGTATATATAAGTGGAGTTGGAAGGAAAGCAAGTCATCATTTCTATAATATACTAATGATAATAGGTGTACTCGAGGGTTCACCTATAGAAAACGTCACATTTATGACGTTGCAGTGACGTTTCTATGACGTTTAAAAATCACGTCGGTGTGACGTAGCAATTTGGTGGGCTTCGTCATTCAGAAAAGTTTTCAAGAATTTGCTATTCAGATTTTTGTTGGGTCACAAAGAATGCATGAATATACGTTACTCAACTGAGTGAAGGAGAAATCGCCAACATCATTCACATTGCTCTCAAGCTATTATCTTGGTTTGCTTACATCTCGCCGACACAAATTACATAATTCTCGATACAAATACGAGTAATTGATCTCATTCTGATGGAGATGCACTAAAGGATAGCACTGCTGATTAGACGATTGAATGGACATGACACCAGAAAGACAACCAAGCAGTCTTAACAATGCATAATCAATATTAGATGTCATCGGAGGTCAGTGTGGTGTTTATCACACTATGTTTGAGGAAACTTCGAGTGACTGACGTCAATAAACGTGAGTAATATAACGTGCTGTGACTCATTCACGAGATTTGTCACGTCATACGTCAGCTCCTGACGTAAGAAGACGTCACTGAAACCTATCATCATCTGGTTGCCTATGATTGAATTATCTATATCGTTAGATCATTGTTCAGTCAGTCAATAATGTTCCAGTTGAACTATGGAAAATTCTAATTGATTTTCCAATGCCGTGAATGTTTTAATCACATAAATCCATATAAATTTTACTATGGTTCCAGCATAATATAAGTGCAACATTCGTATAAGATCCTGTATGTGAGTACTTAATCATCAACTACAAATAGTACACGCAGAACGCCATCGATTGAATCAATGCATGGGCCATTGAATCGCTAGCTATCTCCAGTTTGTTGATAACCAGAATGATGTCTTTCGACTTCCGACATTTGTGTCGAAGATATACCGGATCTTCAACAATTGATTGACTGCCACGTGACCATATTTTTGATGCGGCGTCTCTTTCCACCCACGTTGAAGAGATATAAATGTATTCTTGATTACATAGTAATCTGTCACGGGGTAATCTGTCAATGCTTGTTGAAGGCCTGTTGGTTTCTTAAAACCATATTTCTCATGACAAAAACAATCAAATACCGCTTCCGGCTTTCTGGAAATGAATATATAGATCTAGGTTAGGTTACTCAATCTAACTAGATCTAGGTTGGGAATGATAATTAGAACATTGTAGATATTTTCAATAGATATCACAAATGGACATAAGTCTTTAAAAAGTCGGCGTAGGAGACCATTGATTTTTCCCAGGGGCGTTACTATAGTTGGTTGTGTCACGTTACTGACTAAGCTATACCCAAATTGGTATGTACCGTACCTACCTATAACAATAATAGTAAGTTTTTTTTTCAGAGAAAACATAAAGGGCATGAACAAAAACTTATTCTTTCTGACCCACTCCAACAAAGAAGAAAGTTGCGGAGATTCTACAAAGAAGAATCTACACGAAGCCAAACTCCTCATTAATTTGGCCAAGCACCTCATTCTGAATGGCTACAAACCAAATCAAATCACCATTCTTGCTGCCTACTTGGGGCAAATGTTTGAGATGCAAAGAGAAAGGTAAAAACAATAATTAATCATTTTCAATCATATATTTTCAGGGATAGATATTTGCGGTTTTCGCGAACTTTAACTATTTTTTTGTGAAACTCACTATATCGTAAAAAAATGTTCATAGCCCGCTTAGTTTTTCAGATACAGGACGAGATTGAAGGTATTGCATCTAGAGACCCATCCTCTATCTCCGTCTTCTTATGAGTTTCACACCCCAATACTGAATAGTTTGAAAAGGAATATTCTCAGATAAATTATTATTGTTATCACTTAGAGAATGCGAATTCCCAATGAATTTCTTTATATGTATATCCATGTTTCCATTTTTTATGTTCATTGTTTTTAATATATTCCTTTTCAATACTTTCACCCAATCAAGGGGTTCAAACTTGTACGATGTCAGAAGGATCAACTTTAGTAAGATATTCGGAAACGGTGAAATTCGCCAGTGTGGCTTCCAATAGCCATATGCTTGTAGCATACTCGATTTTCTTCTCAATATTTGAGATGAACTTGTTGATTTGAAGTATTTTGAAAAATTTATCAATTTGGAGATTCTTGTTAGACTGCTGTGTTCAATATTCATTTGTATTTATTTGGATATACCTATCTGAAGGACCTACCTGAAATTGATATATTACAATATCATTGAATATCATGTCATGTGTCACCAATATATTATTCTACTCATAGTCATTTCCTTCAAAATACTAAAGAATATCGCCATTCAGGTCATGTAAATTCATTATCATCATTACAGAAAGAAAAATAGTCTGGTGCTCAGGGACGTGAGGATTTCAGTACTGGATAATTATCAGGGAGAGGAGAGCGATATTATTTTGTTGTCATTGGTCAGGAATAACGCCGAGATGAAGAACGGATTTTTGAAGAACACTAACAGGGTGTGCGTCGCACTATCACGTGCTAGAAATGGACTGTACATCATGGGGAATATTCAGCAATTGTGCAATGATCGTGAATCGGTAAGTTTTATGTAAAGGGTCTCTACGAATGAGGAGGAAGCATACAGTACAGTATTATCATAATAATGAGTCCATCAAATTCAAGAATCTCGAACATCCATCAATTTTTTCCAAGGACCTCGCACTACTAAGCTGAGCAATATCGACAGGTATTGAAGATTCCAATGCTAAGGCAAAGATTTTCAGGTTGCTTGGATATGTCATAATAGCAGTTAAGATATAGTAGTTATGTCAGTGGTTATGTTAAGGGGTTCTCAATGATTTCCACTGTATGCAGGATGATTAAAAACATTAAATTTGTGTACTGTTATAATTGATCATTTTCAATATACTATAAAACGTGGTTACTTTGTTGAAAATATCGAATTTCTCGCGAATAATTATGTATTCGCCTACGAAGTATGTTTCATCTTGGCTGTTTTTTTATGTGGCTAATAGATTCAATCTGAAGTGGGTATGAAGAGAATTTTATATTTGAATTTCGAAATTGCCAAAGTATACACACAACTTGTAGTTAAATGGCCATGTGATGTAAACTATATATAAAAATAATTTTTGGCAAAGTTGATTCGTCAATAAATGTATGACAAAGTAACTCCGAAATTGATAAAAAAGAATCGTTGAACTTTGCCAACCCCCAAAAATTCGTCAAGTTATCGATATAATGTTTTGAAAACCTGAAAGAATATCGATAATAGGCATGTTAAGGTCACTACTTTGAAGATATTGAAATGAAACATTCCAGAAGATATTTATGGAACCAACTGTCGCACGTACACAAAAACTCGCACCAAGTAGGCAGGTGGTTTTCGGTACCTAGAGCTCTATCCTATTGAGCTATCTGAAATCTATTGATACAAGACTATCAGAGGATCCGTTAGGCGAAGAAACGCCAGTTGTTTAGTATTAACAGTTAATAAGACATGAACTTTTATAGGATGTGCCAGAAGTATAAATCTATACATTTTCCACACGGTTCGATTGACCTTAGACAACCGAATTTATGTCAACTAATCTATCACAATTTTGTAGATGAATTATTCTTTCTGTGAAATATTTACCGTCATAGAAGTTAACGAGAACATTTGTATCTCGTAAACGGCTCAAAATTTGTGGAATAGTCAGCTGAAAGTGCTGGCAAATTCCCGATGTACCATCGATGATTTCATTTTTTTCCACATAAGTGCGAGCAATTTTCGAATGTCTGATTGAAATATTGACAAAAACTCAACTTTTTCAGATGGTACTTCTATTTTTTTGACACCATATGAAACGAAATTGAATTTGAGGACGAGTGACTCGAGCATTCCCTAAACCTAACCCAAACCTCCATCGAGTTATTCAATAACAAATCAAGAAATGCCTTATCTTGCCGAGAGATCTTTTGCTTTTTCAAGCACCTATTTAATCACTGATCAAGTGATCATCAACTCTCGAATGCGAAAGCTTTGATGCCGCCTTTGATGTTCGGTGGCTCAAAGCTCGTTATCTTTAATAACACCACCGTATACACGAGGAAAAATGTATGTATTTTCGAGAATTATCATAAGAACGGAAAAACCATAAGAATATGATTTTCTGGGACGTAAAACAGACCCAAAATGACCTATTGCTGATTGGCTTGTTCCAGATATGGCACCAGATAAAAGGAAAACTCGTTGAACAAGGCGCTCTGGGCGAAACCCTGGAGCTCCGTTGCCAGATTCATGACGTCATCACCAAGGTGAAAAAAGACGAGGACTTCAACAAGTCGCCGGAAGGTGGCTGTTTGCGGCCGTGCAACGCAAGTTTGCCAAACTGCAGCCACTTCTGCAAGATCATATGTCATCTGGAAAACAGGGGTCACGAAGGGTACAAGTGCATGGAGGCTTGTGGGCGTTCGCTCTGTACTAGAAAACCGGAGAAACATATTTGCACTTTGAGGTACCATTACCACTATTTTTTTACATTGCACATTGAATATTTTTGCGAAAATTCCAAATATTCGCATGCGCTTTTTTTATTCTACAGGGTAAACTAGAGGCCAAAATAGTACCATTGAAATCAACTTACCCCTATACGAAAATGCACCGCTGAGCCGTGAGAATAATTTTATTTGCAGTTTTTCTCGAATATTTCAAAATCTTTCAAGTGTACAGGGTGGGCAAAATTGGGCGTTTTCATAGGCTATCTCAGTAACTGGAGGAGTTATCAAAAAATCGATATACATGTTACGGGTGTGATTTTAGAGAAACCTGGAATGGTTCAATTGGAATTTCGATATCTTCATTCGTTTCAGAGGTACAGGGGAAATTGAAAAATTGCCGATTTCGTTTTTATTTTCTGAATACTTTATGAAGAGAGATATTGAGAAATTTCAAATTTTTATCCATATAGAATCATGCGTAGAATCCATTGGCATCATCAGAAATTGTATACATGGTGACATCAAGAATATACGGCAGTCAGTTGTTTTTTGTTTTTTTTTTAATGGAACACCTCGAATATTTTGACACAGTTGGATAATCCTAGGCATTCCATATTCAAATATATACATTAACCTACCATTTTCTTCGACAACTTTTGAAATATTCGCAAAAATATACTCAGTGTGTCACATTCCTCATGGTTGCACCTCTGTATCTTCCGTAATAATCATTGAGGTAGGATTACGACATTCGCAGCTGTGAGAGAGATGCCAATGATGCACTGGAGGATCAAGTGGGATCATCTCCAGTGATAACACTGCTCGCCAGCAGCTATGGAATCACCAACATCTCTGGAAAATGCTATAAAGAGGCAGATTATAGGTTGAAAATGATACTCTGTATATATAAACCAAAGTAGGAAGATAAATATTGAAAATGTGATTCAAATATTCCATTTCTAGACAATGAATATTTGGTATGAAATAAAATTTGAAATTATTTGATATGATATCATTGTTTATCAATACATTCATACTATTCAAAATACAGAAATAAGATAAATAATTTATTAATTGGGAAATTAGTAGGTTACATGAAAAAATTAAGCTTTATAAAAGATGTTCAAATTGTCCGTTTTGGCCTAAGCCAACTTCACATCGTTTCCTCACAGAATTCACTGCGTTGGTTAGATGAATGGGTTTCACTTCTTGGAATTCTGAAATTTTGTCTTCCACGCAATTCTTCAGCATTTTTGATGATCTCGACGATATATATGATTTTTCAGAAATCCCCACAAGAATAAATCCAATGGCGACAAGTCGGGTGAACGAGGGGGCCATTGAATAGGTCCATAATATGTACCAATCCATGTTTGTGGATATGTTACTCTACGGGGCATTAGGGGATGAACCCTGTTTGAAATAAATATGCGGTAATCTGTCCTAATATAGTTTTTCACTCTCAAATTTTCCTCAAATATAACGTAGGCCAACCTGTATCCTCTGATAAAACAACTCATAATATGTTGAAGCCAAACCTTCCCTGTTGCCTACTATCATGATGACTTCAAGGATTATGATCAGCCCTGTGGTGTTCATTATGCCTATAGAACAATCCAGCACTAGTGACATAAAATATATTTGAATCACATTTTCAATATATCGAAGACTGGAACCTTTGGCACGATAATACACTACACTGTTTTACCACTAACCAAACCGATTTTTTAACGCCTCGACACGTGTTTCGCTAACTATGTTAGCATCTTCAGGAGAAGATTAAAACAGTTTTAATCTTCTCCTGAAGATGCTAACATAGTTAGCGAAACACGTGTCGAGGCGTTAAAAAATCGGTTTGGTTAGTGGTAAAACAGTGTAGTGCACATTTTCAATGATATTTATTCTCCTACTTTGGTTAATATATACAGTGTATCATTTTCAACCTATATTCTGCCTCTTTATAGCATTTTCCAGAGACGTCGGTGATTCCATAGCTGTTGGCGAGCAGTGTTATCACTGGGAATGAACCCACTTGATCCTCGAGTGTATCATTGGCATCTCTCTCACAGCTGCGAATGTCGGAATCCTACCTCAATTATTATTATGGAAGATACAGAGGTGCAACCATGAGAAATGTGACACATTGAGAGTATATTTTTGCGAATATTTCTGAAGTTGTCGAAGAAAAAGGTAGGTTAATAAATATATTTGAATATGGAATGCCTAGGACTATCCAACTGTGCTCAAATATACGGGGTGTTCCATTAGAAAAAAAATAATTGACTGTCGTATCTTCTTGATGTCACCCTGGAATTTTTCAATATCTCCTTCCATAAATTACTCAGAAGATGAAAACGAAATTGGCAATTTTCTAATTTTCCAATCTCTGAAACGAATGAGGAAATCAAAATTCCAATTGTAGCATTCGAGGTTTTTTTAAAATCGAACCCGTAACATGTATATCGATTTTTTTTGATAACTCCTTCAGTTACTGAGATAGCCCAATTTTGCCCACCCTGTACTGCTCTTAAACTCGTAGGTCAATTCACTATCGTGGATGTGAATGAAGAACATGTCATATCAATTTAATACAGGGAGATAGATAACTTTTTTGGAATACGCCTCTGACAACATTTTGATATTTCAATAACGGCAAAATCAATTATCTGAACTTCTTCCAACTGCAGTTTTCTTTTATAATTCTCTTTGCTTTACAATATGTCTAACGAAATTTATTTTGGTGCTTCTTCATGCCTGTTTATAATGTCAGGATCACCTATTAAGTCTTTGCAAGTTTCTACCTTATTGGTTCGATATTTCTCAGATTACCTATCATGTTTTGCAAGTTTCTACCTCATTTGTTCGATATTTCTCAGATTACCTATCATGTTTTGCAAGTTTCTACCTCATTTGTTCACTATTTCACATATGATCTGGGGGCTAGTCATCAGCAATTTTTTTTTCGAAAAAAAACAAAGAAAAAAATGTTATTTCAAGATCTTTGGACTTTCTCTCCCTCCTGCAAATTTCAGAACCCTACCTCAATAATTACGTGAGATACGTGGGTGCTTCCATGGGAAGTGGGACAGAAATTTCTATGAACTGAAAATTTTCTAGGAAAACTATGAATAGTTAGTGTATTGGGCGTCCTCATTCTGAATCCGAAGTGATTTTCAACCTATTTTGACTCCTAATATCATTTTCCGGAAATTGGAGTGGTTCCATGGCTGTTGACGAGCAGTGTATATCACTGGAGATGACCCCACTTGGTCATAGAGTGCATATTTGGTATATCTCTCGCTCCAGCAAATTCCAGGATCCTTACCCAACGATTACGCAAGGTACAGGGATGTTTCCATTAGAAGTGGGTCACACTGTATATTTGAGAGCCAGTTGGAATTCTGAAAATTATATAAAGGATACCAATCAATATAATTTTGATGCACTCTCATTTCTTAAATTTCACTCTAAAGTCATGAGGGTAACCAAGACATGCCTTGACTACAGAAAGTCTACATTTCGTATATGCATTTTTACTTGGTTTTAGTTGAAATTGTAGATATCTACTGAGATTCTATCCGCATGTTTATTTACTATTGCGCACATACTTCCAATTATATTTGGAGACATCGGAATGTAAAAGAAAGTGTTTCTGGGGCGAATCATATGTGATGGAGCATATATTTTTAACTGTGAGAGAAGATAAGAATCTGACACTTTATCACTTATTAATTCGAAAATGAACATAATTTTTCGTCGACTTCGTCTATTTTCCAACTGATCTATGTGAAATGCAGTTCTGTGTCGTTCATAAGATGAGTGACCCGGACCATAACCACATTTTTTGTATTGTAGGTAGGCAATAAATTTGTTTTGAATTGTTACTATCATTTTTTTTTGTTTTAATGTGGACGGGTCCCATATTATGCTGCCGTATTTCAACCATATGAGCGCACTATGGAATGATATATCAGTTATATACTTTTTATACTAACGAATTCTTGTCATACGTTTGAGAAATCCAAGTAGCTTCTGGGCTTTGCGAGTTATTGCTGAAATATGTTCATCAAATTTGATCTCTTCTATTCAGTATCTTTCGTTACATAAGAGGAATGATTGTTCATAAACTACTCACAGCCTTTCATGAGTGGTCCGACTCCACATATACCAATAAACAGCTTGGTCCTGCGTAGGTATCAGGATACTTGAAGATTTTAACTTTAAAGGTTCTCTTCGTTGTACCTTTTCATTCACTTTCTCGAATGAACTACTTCCCTTTTTCTTGTGACAACCCCTTATTTGTCATTCCCCTTGTTTCATCATAATGATTTCCCATCTCAATATTTAACGGGTGCTCTAATTATAAGGCGTGTATATTGTAATTCATAAGGCATGTATATCGTAGTTCACTTCACCCTCTTGCAGGTGCTTCGAGAAATGCCCCCCCTGCTACTATCTGGTCGGTTGGACGTTGCATTGCGGCCATCAAGTCACGCTGCCGTGCCACCAAGATCCGAACACGCACAAATGCATCGAGCCTGTGCTAACCCTACTACCCTGCGGCCACAAGGAAATGAAGCCCTGCCACGTCAGGCCGGAGGACTTTGCGTGTCCCGTAGACTGCAAGGCCACGTTGGATTGCGGCCACGTGTGCATGCTGAGCTGCCACGACAGGAGGGATCCCGATCATCTGTCGGTGAGTCGAAACTCTCTCGGTAATATCCCATGTAACAGCCCTAGCAGCACAAGTACATCCATGAGACTCCCCAGAGACGTCCCTAATTTTATACTAGGACATCCCAGGGATATTCTTTGTCGGGACCTACAAAAAGGACATCCAAGGGATGTCCTTCTGGTACGTCCCTGGAATGTACCAAGTACGAAGAAAGGATATTCCTAGGACGTCCAGGGACATGTAGGTCTTTTAAAGATTTATGAACTAAAACAGATTTATAAACAGGCCTAAACTACAGAAACCTGAATAAATACAACTTTGTTAGGATTTGAGCATTTTCAAAAAAATTCAATTCAATATTTTGATGAAATTCGATGACTCTGATGTGAATGGATATCAGATATTCCAGGGGCACGAATAGGATATCCTAGAAATGTTCCGAGCGGGATGTCCACTAGACATCCACTGCGGGGCATCTCCAGTATACCCTAATCATGTCATTGTCATGTCATGTCACAGCCACAAGACGTAATGTTCATACGTCAAAATGACGTATCAGAATGACCTACAGAGGACGTATTAAAACAGTCCTGAGGTATACATACCTTTTAATCAGTACTCTTGAATTTTACTATTTCATCATCAACAAAAAGCTTAAATCAAATTTCACATTGAAGCTGCTGATGCAAAAAATGATCAAAGCTGAGACTATGAATTTCCAGCTTTTTTTTCTTTTTGCTCTTGTGTTTTTTTCTCGTTTACTATTAGTACTGTTATTTTTAAAAATCTCAATGATATGTAAGTTTTGTTCACGAATTGTAATGTTATTTATAGAAACTGTCAATAATAATTCATGAACGATCTTATACTAAGAATACATGTTTGATCATTCATGTCATTCCTTCTTAGGAATTTATTATACTCAATATGTAAATTCGTCAAAGAGAAATGTAGGTAATGCAATAACTGAAATAATAAATATACTATAGGCACATATTAATACACCACAAACCATTGATGGAATTCAGCTTACCAAGCTTACCAATCACGGGAAAATTCACTCTATTTGCTGACGATACTACCCTCCTTTGGCATGGAAAAAATGTAGAAAACCTCAAATTAGCTGTAGCCCAGGAACTCGACGAAGTCAAATCTTGGTGCGATTCAAACTCTCTATGCTTCAATGTGGAGAAAACAAATATTATTACCTTCAAATTTGAGTTTGAAAATCTGACATTGGGTACACACCAAGTTGAAAACAGAACAAGTACTAAATTCCTAGGTATACATATTGACAGAAAATTAGGGTTTGAGGAACATGTAACGTCACTAAAAGAATGATTAGCATCAGGTTGCTATGCCATTAGAGTTGTATCAAATGAGCTTGGTTCTGCTTTTTCCAGAAACACGTATTTTTCTCTCATAGAGTCTCATATCAGGTACGGCATAGCCTTCTGGGGTTTTGTAGCCAACATTTGTTGAATCCTGTCTTTATTCTACAGAAGAGAGCGATTCGCTATTTGTGTCGGGCTAAAGCAAGGGACCATTGTAGACCACTTTATATCAGTCAACAAATTCTCACTCTCACCTGCCTCTTTATTTTGGAAACAGTCTGTTTGATCCACACCAGACATCATTCATCGAACAAAAACCCGGTGAATCAATCATATTATGTCCACTAGAAATAACAGTCACCTGTCTCTGCCGATACCGAAGGTGACTCGAACAAAAAATTCCAATATATATGAAAGCAAAAAAATCTACAATCACTTACCAGAACAATTCAAAGGAACCGGCTCCATAAAAAAAAATCAGAAATGAGGTTGAAAAATTCCTTATTAAATAGCGTACTATTACCTGCAGGAATATTACAACGATAAGTTTTGAAGTCATGTATAATTTATTTCTATAATTTATTTCTTGATTTTTTAACGATTATGTAAGGTACCTAGTTGGCGTTGTATGTGATATAAATGTTATGCTTTTAGGGCTTTTTTGTTGTTGTTTTATACCCTTGTATTTGTGTTATTTATCAACTATATTTTATGTTCATATCTTTTATATCTTTGTACAAATAATTGGATATAGTGGATCTATCCACTTGCTAGTTTCACGCTTTGTCAATCGGAAGAATGTTTCTTGGACAATATAGCTCAGTTTTGATTGATTGATTGATTGATTCATTTGTAAATATGCGTTGTCGTCATTAAGACCTCCAGTATAATACGCCAATAAGACGTCGTAAAATTAGTACGTTACCGTAATTAGAAAATGTTGTGGTGATTGTATATTAGAACATGCAATGCATTATTTAGCAGAGTGAACAGTTCCATTCACCATTGGCGTGCGATGTTGAGGGGGTACAAAAAAGGCCATTATTTTGGAAAAGGATATTAGGTCTCATTTTAGATTACTTTTTCAATCAGATTCAGATTTAGCATCCACAAAAACACCCCAATTCATATTTTCACGATCCCAAGAGCTAGAAAAATATTCCAAAATCGCGCTTTTCCTGACTACACCCTAAAATCTCATTTATTAATGATTCGATTTTATCGAAATTATGATGGTTATTGTATGTTATTTTTCTAACATACAATCACCATCAAAATTTCAAGAAAATCGGATCATTAATAACTGTCCCAGCAAACATTTTGATATAGGACATCAATGGCCTAATATATTTTCCCATACCTAACATCAGCGGCCCAGTAAATGGTCCCATATGCGGGACTCCATATATCAGTACACTGCGGCCAGTAGCTGGTCCCAGTGCTGGGTACCCAGCAATCATATTCAGATCCGCGGCAAAAGGCTAGTACAACATAATCGACACATTGAGTTTCCCATAGCAAGCCCAGCATATACATAATTGATGGGACTGTAATGGCCAATTAACGACATTGATGGTTACATACTATCGAGGTAGGGGAGGGGTAGGGGTTTGAGAGGTCCAATGGATCTGAAAGCTCTAGTACCTTTTCATTTCACAATATAACCCTCTCATCATAAACCAAACACATACCAGATTCCAAGAAAACAATTTTATGATTGGCACAATGATATCTTCTTAACCTCTGTTCTACAACGATGAAACTTCTCGGAGTGACTGCTTACTGATGGTTGGTATGTGGTATCTACATCTTATTGGGTAGCATTCCTTCAAAGTTGATTCTTCGTTGTGAGGTATTTCTGAAATGCATCATTAGTTATATATTAGTGGCCTATGAGTTGCATGAGTTTATAACTTATATAGTCTGATGACGTTATAACATCCCATATAGCACTAGTACGTCCCCAAAATGTATTGAGAACGTCCGGCCAAGACGTTTCGTACGTACTGGGGACGTCCAGATTTGGTACGGTCGACGTTCAGGTACGTACTGGATACGTCCAGATTCCGCGCGTTTGTACATCCTCAGTACGTCCATTCAGGACCATGGATACATGAATCAACGTAGATCCGCCTCTTTTCACGCAGATATTCAAAAAAGAGATTTGGATAAAGTAGAAAATCCTATTTTGAATGAAAAAAATTTAAAAAAAAAAACGCTTCTACGGGGGATCGATCCCACGACCTTTCGTGACACTGAGATTTTAGGGCGTAGTCATGAAAAACTGGATTTTTGAATTTTTCTTGAGATTTTGAAATTATGAATTGTGGTTCTTTCGAGAATGCTAATGCTGAATCTGACCGAAAAAGGTATTTAAAATATGCCATAATATCCTTTTCCAGAATAAACCCATTTTTGTGCCCCTCAACATCTCAACGCCAATGGTGAATGAAACGATTCACTCTGCTGAATTCTTCACTGTTCTAACATACAATCACCACCAAAACTTCAAGAAAATCGTATCATTAATAAGTGAGATATTGGGGTGTATTCATGAAAAGTGAGACACACTGTATAGGGTGATATACGAGCTTTTGAAAAACAAACTGTTGGCCATAACTCTCTAGTAGCTTTCTCTATTCTTCTGATTATTCATAAAATATTCCACAACTATTCTCTTATCGACTGATTCATTCAGAATCGGGAAAATCCAGGACCGTTCTTGAGAATTTCCTAAATTAGTTTATATCAGAAAGTTCATCCTGGGGCCATGCATATAAAATGGTTTTTTTTCCAGTATAAATGTCCTAAACCATGTGCAAGAGTACGTGGAGGATGCAGTACCAAGGACCACTCGTGCAGAAAATTCTGCTATGAAGAATGTGAACCTTGCACTGAGCAAGTGATGAAGCACCGGACTATTTGTACTCATGTCTTCAAAGTTGCTTGTAGCTCCAACGTCGACACGGTAAATTGCACTCACCTTTCTCCATATTTCATACGATCAATCACTTCATGTCACAAACTACACATTTTCCAGATATATGTCAGAAAGCGTCAATTCAATTTCAGAAAGCGTCAATTGTATTTCAGAATAGTCAATTGTATTTCTGAAAGCGTCAATTGTATTTCAGAATAGTCAATTCAATTTCAGAAAGCGTCAATTGTATTTCAGAATAGTCAATTCAATTTCAGAAAGCATCAATTGTATTTCAGAATAGTCAATTTAATTTCAGAAAGGGTCAATTGTATTTCAGAATAGTCAATTGAATTTCAGAAAGCGTCATTTGTATTTCAGAAAATATCATTTGAATTTCAGAAAGCGTCAATTGAATTTCAATAAGCATCGAGATCGATTAGTTAGTAGAAAGTGCACTCCATGTAAGAATGCATAGGATGTTCAGTGCTTCCTGTAGTGATGTTTTCAATGCAATCACCCCAAATTTCTTTTTTATGTACCTTGTAGGTACCTATATACTATTTGAACAGATTACAGAATTTCAGGTATAGGGGACTATTATAGATATTTTACATGTTTGTCCAATAGGAAGTGACCGATGGCTGTTTGAATGATACTGTAAAATAGGCTTCTTAATAACATTCACAAAATCAAGCTCTGTTGCTATGACGTGAATGTCATGATATTTTCACGATTTATAAAGTTGTCTGGCAGGAGAACACCCCGTG